TTGGGAAGGAACCAGTGATAGACATGTTTAATAGATGAGACGAAATCTAGTGAAATTTGAGGACAGGCACCCACCAGACTCATGAATAAGTAATTTGCTACCTGGCAGCTTTTGCATCCTCACACTCTGGAGGACAATGAGGCATTCCTAAATGTAAGGGAAAGGTTTCTGTACCTCATTGCTGAGCACCTTCGGAGGAGCCATTTCGAGAGAGGCAGGGAACTAAGGTAATGTAAAGCCTCCAAAATACTCATGAGATACTTATAAATGCATGTGGGCCATCGTAGACACCACCTTTCACTTCCTATAACTTCAGTTCTTTACTCCATCAAGTGGTCTTTTTAAATTATTGGATGCTTCTCTTCTTTCTTACAATTCAGAGAACTAAGGTTTTCAGTCAATGTTAACTTTCTTTGAAGGATTTCAGAGGGTAGTATTTCCACATACAAACCCTAAAATTATTATTTTCAAGTAGGGCTGGTTCTTTTTCTCTGTAGCCTAGAAGAAAAGAGATCTATGTAATCGCAGTGTCAAAATGTCAAAAGACTGAGATAGGGTGGGAAAAAGAAGAAGAGGAAAAAAACACACACACACACACACACAGGGCCCTTAAAGGCATCCATGCAGTCCTCAGGCTTACAAATCCTTGGCTCACATAAAATACTTGTGACATGCTGTAATTAACTAGTTACTCCTCTCAGAATGAATAATAATGCAATTATTTGCCAAAAGCAGTGAAGAAGGGATAGTTTCTGTTTTCAAAAATATCTGCCTTTCATTTCTGTAAAAAGAAAACCCCTGGATTAATTTACATAAGCTGCTAAAACATAGAGTGACCTGCAATTTCACCATTACAGTATATGATAATTCTGTCACCTTGTTATTGGAGCCTTGTATTTTTCAATGGTTTGAAATAGCAATAAACTGACAAGTCACTACCATGTTTAAATTATACTGGTTCTTAAAAACTGCGCCCAAATACCATAAAATATAAGTAGTGAGTTGCATGGTGAAACATGTCCCTTTCACAACTGTATTCTGATGTCATTGAGGTCGCTATGGGCTAGTGCTCTGTCTCCTCTGTCTGTGGGACACAAATTAAAAGAGGCAAGTGGCCTTCTTCAAGTGCCAATTAGCACAGAGTTAAGTGAGAGTTTATATGAACATATCACTAGTTCTTTCTCCTATGTGTTAATGTCCAGACAAAAACTAATCTCTTTAACTTCGTCCAAGTCTATCCTGCCTTTCTTTCAGTAATTCATTCAGTAACCATTTATTGATGACTTGCTATGATGCCCTCTACTAGGTTCCAGAAATTCAAAGGTAAAAAAGACAGATAGCCTTTAAGAAGGTTGCAGAAAGTGAAGGTATGAACTAATAAACAGGCACATTAAGAATGCAGTAAATGCCGGGCGCCTGGGTGGCTCAGTTGGTTAAGCGACTGCCTTTGGCTCAGGTCATGATCCTGGAGTCCCAGGATGGAGTCCCGCATCGGGCTCCCTGCTCAGCAGGGAGTCTGCTTCTCCCTCTCCCACTCCCCCCTCTTGTGCTCTCTCTCTCACTCTCTCTCTCAAATAAATAAATAAAATCTTTAAAAAAAAAAAAAAGAATGCAGTAAATGCCACCACAGAGCCCATTCTTCACACACACACACACACACACAAATTCGTGTACTCGTGTCAACATGCAAAATCTCTCTGCCCCATGAATCTGAACTTTCAAAAATTCCAGGCTCTTTAAAAGTTTTGAAGGAGTGACTTGGTGCTAAGATTTGGTGCTAAAACTTGGAGTCAGTTGGAGAGTTTGTATGTGTGTGCATGTGTGTGCATGTGTGTGTAAAACCTGTATTTTTGTAAAAAAGTAGAAACAACATTATGTAGAATTTTGTTAAGGATAAAATAGTCTAAGCAATTGATGTCTTAAGTAGTCAGATTAACTTAATTCATATCAATTTGTTATTTGTTCTAATTCCCGGGTATTAGTTCAGAATGCCTTCAAATGAATATTCACTGATATATCCCTATGATACTAAAAAGTCTGGATCACTTGTTTGGGAAGACAGAGACTAAGAGGCATTATGACTTAGATTCATAACATCATGATAAATACTCTAAGAGTAGACCTAGTCTTATTTTTTCAAGTCTAGTCATCCAAGGTATTCCTTTAATTAGTTTATAATAGGAATTTGGGTTTGCCTTGTTTTTCACTGTACGGAACAGTATGTAGAACAGCATCAAACTGCCTATATTGGAAATTGGTTCTTCCCCATAAAAGCTATGTGACTTCTCTAAGCTTCAATTTTCTCATCTGTAAGATAGAGATAGTAATAGTAGCCACCTCACCGAGATAGAAGGATGAAAGGAGTAATGGCATATAAAGCATACAGCACTATCATTAAGTAAGCTACTATTATTATTGTCATTATCTGATCTCAGTGAGAACACTTAATATCTGCCAAGAAAATTAGCTACTCTATGTCTGTTTTTATGACAATATAGTAATGATGATTTATATTCGTTTCATCTTTTTTTAAGAATATAAGATCATGTCACTATATTTATTCATTTCATTTATTTATCTACTACATGCAGTTACTGAATGATGAGTGTATGGAAAGTATTGGGTGGTGCGGGGAATACAAAGATAATTTAGCGACTACCGATAGAGTGTCAGACTATGGTCCTGGAATCCTGCATGGTTTTTGAACTAATTAGGTTTAATAAACTCAGATACTAAAAATAATTTGAAGATACCCTTGTACCCTATGTGATTTACTTTTTAGATAGATGAGAAAATATGACTTTCTGTCTGTTCTGCTGTTAGTAACAGATAATTATGCTGGTGTCTTTCAAGGAGATAGTCCCAGAGTCTAACACAACAATAGTAAACTGGCTTGAAGGCAATTAGAACCAACTTTTAAAAAACACACAATGTCCGTCTCCTCACCTCTTTATTTACTACAGATTGTTAAGGAAAACAAGGCTCATCTACAAAGTAACTTCCCCAAATGCACGGTGAAAAGGACCAAAAAGTCTTGAACATGTAGGCAACTCTCAATCTCAGATCTCTCAGATGCCAAGAATCAGGCCAGGTAACAATGTTGTGATCTCAGTAGCTACATCGCGACCGAGGTAGGAACACCACTCCTCAATGACTTATGCATTTGGAGATGGTAACCATCTGTCCTAGCTATTTGTTCCTAAGCATGCGAAAGTAAAAATAACCAAGTGTTCCTAAAGCAATTCTCTGACCAAAAAAAAAAAAAAAAAATTAAGTGCATTGGCACAATTTCTGCCAGTACTTTTAACAGAGATCTAGGTAATTCTGATACAGATGGTCTAAGGACTACACTCCGAGAAGCACTGTTGTGTAGACAAACCTTCTCTCACTTAATCAACAAACGGATCAAGCACTGATTCCCAGGAAGTGAATCTGGTGCCAGTCTGACTGCCTAAAAAGGTAGAATCCTAAGCTCTACCCCCAGAGTTATTAGGGCCAGAAACCTGCTTGTGAATCAGTATATTTAAAAGTTTTCCAGGAAATTCTAATACACAGCCCATGGTGAGAGGAAAGGGGTTATATGTTGCTTTAACACACCCGTAGGTGGCCCTTGTTCCACAATTTACTAGCTCTCTGATCTTATAATTGCGCTATCGTTGGTCTATGAAATGGCTGTTGTAAAGATTAAATAAAGCAATGCATGTTAAGAACCCAGCATGTAGTAAGCTAGTTGTTATTGTAATCATTATATTATATGCCCAGCTCTAAGTAAGATCTACAGAAGTAAAATGTGTGCTTCACCACTTTGGGAAGCATATAATCCATTTAGAAAAATAATGTAAATATTAATAGAAAATTAATTAACAGAAATCTAAAATATGAGTTTATATTCTAAGGCAATAACATATTTACACACATATAAAAATATTCTGAGTGAAACAGTCTACTTTGTCTACAGAGAATGATAACATAGGAAAAGTCATATAAAGTTTGCTTGAAAATATCTCATTCTTCTAATTCAGGCAACCTAATTCTCATTAATTCAAATTTGTATGTATATTATAGAAAAGTATTAAAATCATGAGTGGTAATCAACTTGTATTTATTACTTAAAACTAGAATTAGAAAAAATAGCATATATCTGGGAAAGGGATCCATGGGACAGGCATCAAGCGGCCCACAAATACTCTGTAATTTTATGCAAAAAAGTTGTTTTGTGTGAGTATGAGTATTTCTGAAGAGAGAGCCATACCTTTCATTTGATTCTCAAAGGGTTTTGCGCTGCCCCCCCCACAAAAGTTAAGGACCACCAAAGATTCCCGCTTAGCACATGTCTTGTGCATCTTCATGTAGCTGAAGAAATATAACTCCTGATTACACTCCAAATAATCTCCTGGCTTACTTTCTTGCAAATGTCCTCTGAATCATTTTCCTCACGCTCTCACCATTCAAATATCCTGAGAATAAAGTAACACAGTAAGATCTCATTTGAGGAAATTGTAAAGCAGACTTTCATGGCTACCTCAGCCTATTCAAATTCTGCCAACATCAGCATGGAAGTTTATGTACATGTTTCAAAAGTTCCAATGGCAGAGATTTACTGATGATTATTTTCTGCGTTTCCCCTTTTTATTTTTTTTTTTATCCATTTATCAATCTTTTGAATTATTTTCAATTAGTTCTGTGCTTCTTTTCATCTCTGGTAGGAAAATGAAGGAACTTCCCTGGAAGGATACAATTCAGTTTTGTGGACTTGTATGTTGCCAATCTAGCAATTCTTCCACTCTGTGGTTAATGTATAATGTGATAGCAACACTATTAATGTTACTTTTTTTTTGATTGAGGTAAATTGGTATATGACATTATACAAGTTTCAGGCACATGACATTATAAATTGATATTTGTATGCACTTCAAAGTGATCACCATCATAAGTCTCGTTACTACCCATCACCATACAATTAAACCCCTTCACCCATTTTTGTTTCTCTCTTCCTTTAGGTGTGTGTGCAACATCGACTGTTCTCAAACCAACTTCAATCCCCTCTGTGCTTCTGATGGGAAATCTTATGATAATGCATGTCAAATCAAAGAAGCATCATGTCAGAAACAGGAGAAAATTGAAGTTATGTCGTTGGGTCGATGTCAAGGTAATGTTCATACCAAAATTCATCTCAAAGAATGTTTTTAGTCTTAGTGTAGAAATGAAAAGTGAAGATAACTCCTTATTAGGCAAGCTATTTCCTTTCCGGAAGACGGTTCTGATTTATAATGGATACTAAAGTCTGCTGTAGCATTTATGGTGATTATAGGAGTTTGAGAGCCTATGAGCAACAGTCTATATCTTTTTCTATATAACGGGACTGTATCTTCACAATGCCATAAACACAGAAGCCAATATTCAGCAGACATTCTCCTTGCACAGGGAAAAAAAAAAAAAAAAGTCAAAATCGTCTTTAGCAAAGAATCTGAGGATTTATTAGAAAACCTTGAAATTAAAAACAAATGACACCATTTTTATGTATTGAATCAATAGAAATATTTCAAGTACATTTTTAAAAAATATTTTTATTTATTTATTTGAGAGAGAGAATGAGAGAGAGAGAGCATGAGAGGGGGGAGGGTCAGAGGGAGAAGCAGACTCCCTGCTGAGCAGGGAGCCCGATGCGGGACTCGATCCAGGGACTCCAGGATCATGACCTGAGCCGAAGGCAGTCGCTTAACCAACTGAGCCACCCAGGTGTCCCTCAAGTACATTTTTTAAAGCAGGATGTACGAGAATGTTTTATTTTGTTTCTTATTCAGAAACAAACATTTTCTTGGGTTTTGACTTGTTATTCCTTTACCCACCTTATCTCAGTTATAATTGTGAACCTTCTCTTTGCCCCAAACTCTAGAAAGCTGATACCATTTTATTATTCACTCTCAAGCAAATTGATGTAAATATGTCTTTGCATAAAGGTAGCTTAGAACTATAGTTATAAAATTTCCTTAATCACAGTGAAGGTACTATTAGAAGAATAATATAAATTTAACATTTGATGTTTAGGAAGCAATTAATCAATCTTCGTTGTTAATTTTTTTTAACACAGATAACACAACTACAACTACTAAATCTGAAGATGGGCATTATGCAAGAACGGATTATGCAGGTATATTATAATATTTTCTACAATAGAATATGAGCACTTCTATAAAAGAGTCCTGGGGGAATCATTTTTTTCTTACCATTGATCCTAATTTGAATCTTGCAAGACTTCTGACATGTACTAATCTTCTCTTGCTTGGTTCAAACTTTCAATAGACAATAGTGAATTTTTTTGAAGCAAATAAAATGCCTTTTTTTTTTGCCAGAGTTAAAGCAATTGTCAAAAATGTCAGTAAGATATAACTAACTTGTTTCGACAGTGCAAATGGTACAAATGACAAAACATTTATCAAATTAATGGGCATCAGTGGAAATTAATGTAGTTTTTGGCAGTATATTGTAATGAATGCAAACATTCTTGTTTGAATTTTCATTAAAGTCAACGATAAAAAATTTTGCTAGTCTCTAAAATAACTAGAAAGGACAGCTATAAATAATACAGGCTATCTCTCTTTAAATGCAAAGTTAAAAAGCTATCTGTAACTTACTTTTAAAATATTAACTTATTATTATTTTAATAAATATAATTTATATTTAAGTAAATTATTATTTTAAAAGTACAATGTAGCTTCTGACATGCAGAATTATCAAGCATTTATATAAAATATAAATTTTATTTAGCTATTATAGAATATTATTTTGAGAATTATTTCTATCTAATATAATTTTTCCAGGGTGAGAAATAATTTATGGGTATGCAAATAGGATTTTAACAAATTATTAAATTTTATAAAAACTTAGGATTAAAAATATAAAGTAAAATTATTGATGTGGATAATGATATTTGGAGTTTTGTGTTTTAAAGAGCTTTTCACTCAACTATTAAACAGCTCTAACTAAATTTATGGCCAATAGTCAATCAAGAAATTCTCTTATCTTTCAAAATATGTATTATCGTTCATTTTTTTCTGAAATTGTATTTCTACAGTATTTCTGACATCATATTTATATACAAAATTACTCTCAATGAAATTGAAAAAAGTTAATCAGATGTTATACTATGGATCCCTCACACCTGTTAGAATTTAGAAATAACAAAAATTTTTTTTTTAATTTTTCACTTTTATCTTAGTGGTTTTCAACATGTAAATAAAACTATTCATGTGCTAGAAGCCTGGAAGTATCATGGACAATTATACATGGAAAAACATTAGTTCTACTATTGTATAGCTGTTCCCAAATGTCCAGGAGAGCTATTAGCAGGTGTTCCTTGAAAAGAACAGTCCATGATCAATAAGTTTGGGAGAAGCCCAGATAAACAAATGACTTTCTTACCCAGAACACCTCATAGCTCTGGTGTGCACTGTAAAATCTTTAAGAGATACGCATCTTTTATTTATTTATTTTTTTAATTTTTGTTCTAATAGATACAAAATACACATAGATGTAGGCTGGTTAGTATAATGAACCCCATGTATTCATCACTCAAATGCAGTAACATCAACCCATGACTAACCTAGCCCCATCTCCAACTGCATCCTCTTTCAGCATTTTCAAAGTATGTGGAAAGAAATCCCAGAAATTGCATCATTTTATTCATAAATACTTTAGCCTTCAACTCTAAAAGATCAACCCTTTTTAAATAAAATTACGTTATTATCACACCTAAGATAATTTTGAATGATTCCTTATAGTATATAGCTTTTATCAAACTTATTTGATAAATAACACATGCCTTTGCAGCACTTTTGCAGTACTAGGATTCCCAAGAATGCACTTTGAAATATGCTGATCCACAGGAAAGTATTAAAGTGATAAAAGATAATGAAAAATCAAGGTCTGAAACTAATAATATACATTTTAAATGTTAAATGAAATCAAATTTAAATTCTATATTTTGTTATAAACAATAGCTATATCTTGAAGGTACTGTAAGCCACTACCTGGCATATTTAATTTTACTGTAGCCTAAAGTGTTTGAAGATTTCATAAGGATTTCCCTTTCATATAAAGAGTAACTAACTGTGCTTAAAATACCTTTATACTTGTTTTGCAAACTAATTCACTTGGAAAAAAATCTTCAAAAATGTAACATTATATGAATAACTTCTCTATTGAAATATTCATCATTGAACTCATAGGAAAATCAAGCTTCTCCCTGAAACAAAAAGCTTTTCAAGTTAATTAGCATCAATATGCAAATATATGTGAGTTTATAAAACTGTACATTACATATCATATTGGAGTTTACCACTCTGTCATTGTCATTCATATTACCTATTTACAGATTGCCCACTTTCAAAGAGTTTGGGAGTTAAATATTTTTTTGTTCCAAAGAATTCATACTTGAATTTGATTTCAAAGAGATAATTTCTGACCTTCAATGTCAATGCTTTTAGTTGGCATTATTTCCTATCTTACCCCTTTATTGAACATGAGAAGGAAAGAGAATGTGTTTTTATATCCGTGTGAATGAAAACTGTTCAGACCCTCAGTGTTGTCCAAGGTCTGCGAGCTTGACATCAGATTTATCTAGTAAATTCCACAGAAAAACTTTTAAGATAAAAGTAAAGTTTAAAAATACATGTTTGTTGAAATCCAAATTTAAGACAGGAACAAAGATAATGTCAATTGAAGCCTGCAATTTCTAATTAAGCATTGATTACATACTTTAAAACTACCATGGAAGTTAATTTAGATGTCTTTATCTTCAACGGTAATCTTATTAAAAATACAATGTATACCCCTCATTAGACAATATATAAATAATAGCCACGTCCCTCAACATTTCCAGGCTTTCAATAGTATTTGCAGTTTCATAAATTTTGGGATACAAACTTTGGAAAAATAAAAGGAACCAAATGGAGACTCAGTATGTCACTGTCCTCTTAATTTTTGTTTCACGTTTTCAAAACTCTCCAAGGAGGGAAAACAAAAACTGTGTGACTCACATTCCTAGAAGTTTGCTATCTGCTCACAAGTTCATTTAATGTCACAGTCACTTCCCTTGTTAGACAAACATCGATGGACGCTCCCACTGGAGGGAAGTACAGATCTTAACACACTCGTTTTTTTCTTAGATGTTGTTAATACTAGAGGTTAAAAACCTTTAGCAACACCCCTATTTTTCCTGTTTAAGCCTACCTTAACGATGTTAGTACAAAAACCACACATTACTGATTACAAAAATGAAAAATAATATAAAGAGAACCTAAATCTAAAAATAAATATGCTGTGTCTCATATTTAATATCATTTACAAAATAGAGACTGCAGTAAGGACGGGCAAGGGCCAATTCACAAAAAAACAAATACAAAGAGAGCCATGCCCCCAACAAGGCTAAGAGGAGGTCAACTACAGGGTGACCGAACTTGTGCAGAGCTATGAAGTCCAAGATAGACCTGAAACGGACTCTAGGAAGCCAAAGAATTTGCCAGATCATCCCAGCCAGCATTCCTTTCTGGTTGTGCTTGACTTGGGTCTCTATTCTGCCCTCTCTTCTTTAATGAGACCCAAGGCAGTAGTGAGTCCTGAGTCAAGAGCTTTGGATCTCTGTTTCAAGGCAGAGTGACAGGATCTCTGTCTGATAAGCTAAACTGGCTACTTAATGTCATTCTCCCTTCATCAGTCTAAGACTTGGGCTTACATTTAGGTCTTTCTCTTTACTTGCAAAAAAGGCTCAGAGAACAACATTTTATAAAACCACAGAACTGAAGCTTTCAGGGATTTCCATTGTTTCAAAATGCTAATATTAAACTTTCCTTCTGGAAGTTTTTATAAATAGCATATTTTATAAATAGCAAATGTTTTATACCTCTTGAAATCTGCAACATTTTCTTTTTTAAAAAATTTCCCCTCATGTCTTAGAATGAAAAAATGAAGTTCAACCATTTTGTTTTTCCTCATCTGGTGTGTGTATTTTCTGATTGTATTGCTTTTCTGCCTAGAAGTCTGATCATGCTTCCGGAAAAGTAGCTGCGTATTTTTCCAGGGAAAATGTACTTGATTTTATAAATTGTTAGATGTAAAAAATATACACATACACATAAACACACACATGAAAAACAAAACAAACCATGAATTTAAACGATTTTGTCTTTTATCATCTAGAAAATAAAATGAGTTTTCTTTTATGACATTTTGCACCAGTTTCCGAAAGGATTTGTAGCGGCTTATAATTAAAATATATTCAATGAGATCGTTTAAAGAGAAAGTGAAAGCATAAGGCAGAACTGTAGAGGAAAATAAATATATCAGCAACATGGACTATTATAGTTACTGCATTTAGCCCTAAGCTTCCTTGTAACCAGTGTAAAAAGAGAAAATATGATCAAATCAATTCATTCAGAAAATATTTAGAGTCCCTGCTATATGCACTCCACTGGGCTTTACAAAGGTGAACTCCTCATTCTAGGGCTCTGCCAAAATGGAGCTTAGGTTTCCATCGCCTGATAAAAAAAAAAAGAATAAATAATTAGTTCAGAAACCAAACACATAATTTCTCTAATGTTCAGTTCTCAAAAGAAATATTTGGCACAGATCTTCTTATAGCTGGGAGACATAGAATGGATAATATCTTCAATAGTGATTTTTATAAAATATGCCAAGGCTTTTCACATGGCTGGGGATTTTTTATAACAATTTTTATAAGATTCTAGAGCATCGCATTAGAATATGTGTAAATCAATGATAGTCTTTCTGTGGCAGATTAAATAATGAGTTATATTTATGTATATTTCCAAGTTGGAAAAAAATAACACCGAGTCCTAAGGGAAATGGCTAGGAGGCGGAGTGTGTTCAGCTTATCTTCCTCATGTATCTACAAGTTTAACAGGAGCTGGATTAGAAGAACAGTCAGAAAGCTTGAAAAAAGATAAAGAATATGTTAAATTATAGTATCTATATGGGGAAAAGAAATTTCCCCTGCTTTTATTAGCAGTTAATGAGAAAAGTTAGCCCTGAGTCATCTCCACAGCCTTGGGAGGGAACCAGGGTCTCCCCAGCTCTGAGTCTAGGTACAGGCATGCATGGAGTCTGTGTCTTCTTATTGTGCATTATACTGTG